AGGAATAGGTTTCAAAATACCCTTGTTATCCCCAGCACCGAGAGCGGTACCCGTAGACCACCCCATTTTCATCATCAGCGCGTGACCCCTATTCTCAGGTCCCAGCTCCGGAGCATTTGCACCGACCGTCTCGCCATCCTTGTAGCCCAGCTGAGGCCGGCTGCGCGTACCGCTCTGCTTGTGCTTGACGGTCGAGTATCTGCCTGCGCGTCCGGCACCACTGGCACCCTGAGGGTACAGAGGGCCCCGTAGACGTTTCTGAAAACCTTTCTTTTGGATAGCCATGTCGAACTCGTTGTCGGTGTAAGTGCGGGTACGAGATGTCTTTGAAAGAATGGTAAATCTGTCCATGCCGTCGCCGCGGGAGCGAGAGTTTAGGTTGAAGAATGCTGCGGCTTGGTGAACGGTGGCGCGGCGATAGGCTTCCATGGGAGGTAGCGCAAGTGTCTGCATATCGCCCATTAAGAACTCACGGATTTCTTCAACAATGTCTTCCATGTCGATGCCGCCCTGGTATTTGACCTTGAGGTTGGCACCTTTGCCCTTTCTACCTAACAAGCCCTGCTGGCGTAGCTCCTCACGCTCCGCCTTCTTGAGGCGCTTCTTTGCTCGGTCGGCCTCCCAAGCGTTTTGAAGCTGCTCGTTCAGATCGGAGTCATCCAGTTCTGGTGGTGGCTGGCCACGTCGACCTTTCTTCTTGGGCTTTAGTGAGGGTCGCTCGGTATCCATTATGTCGAAGCCGCCATATGGGTCCATTTCGAGAGCTGCAACCATTGCAGATGCTGATGGGAATGTCGGGTCCTTGTTACCGCGCCCACGGCCTCGCTGCTTCTTGTTCGATTTGCCGTAACCACCGAAAGACGACTTCTTATTGGGGCCTGGTGTGTCGAAGAAATCATCAGCACCGTAGAGCAGCACTTCGTCAGCGCCTAAGCCAAGCTCTTCTTGTTTTTGTAGGATCCTAGCGATGGTCTCATCATCCAATTCTTCGGCATATGCGTCTTCATCTTCATCTTCGTCGTCGTCGTCATCATCATCTTCTTCGTCGTCGTCGTCGTTTTCATCCTCACCCTCATTGTCCTCACCTTCATCTATATCTTCATACTCATCTGCAGAATCGCTGCTTGCGAGCATTTGCTGCTCACGCTCAAAGGCCTCGGCCTCAAAGGCTTGAATCATTCGCTTCTCAGCAGGGCTTTTGAGAAACGTAGCTGGCAGCCAACGAGCGTCATCAGTGATGGAACCTTCGTAGACGCAAAGATAATGAAGGCCAGATTTACGGGTCCGTTTGGACAGGACGCGTACAACGGTATCCATGACGTCGGATGAGGTGCTCATGTCCTCGAAATCTCGCAGCATATCCGAATCCCAGTCTTCACTACCCTGGTCATCATCTCCGCCGTCTTGACTTCCAGATGCTGGCTCCCAATCATTGTGGCTGCCTCCATCCAAGTCCATTTCACGACGAGCAAAACCAGATGCAGCCAGCATATCATCGGTAAAGCCAAACTCCTCAACATTTTGCATGTAGTCATCCATGGCCGCGTCACGTGAATTGGCATTGTCCTGCAGGAGAGCTTCCATATCGGGTCCTTCTGAAACAGGCAGCCATCCAATTTTGGGTTTACTGCGGTGTTGCCACTCAGTGGTGGTACCCTCCCAGGCAGGTCTGTCACCTCTCCGCTTTGCAAACTGATCCTGATCCACATCGTCAGGATCCGACACTGTCTCTTCTTGGACCTTAGATACTTGGGCAACAGCTGCCTCAGTTTGTGGTGCAGTTTGATCACTGGCAATGTCCTTTTCTGTAGTTGTGACCGGGGTGGCTGGAGTTGTGTCCGATGCAACAACAGGTGTAGCTGGAAGCTGAACACCGCGCCCTCTAAAGATGACTTCATCTGCACTTGACGAAGCATCTGAAGGCGCAGGCGATGGGCTGCGAATAGCCATCTGTGCCATGGCTTCAGCGTTGTCCGGCGTGGAAGATGGCAAAGAAGGCGTAGCAGACTCCGAGCTGGACTGGGAAGGGTCTTCTTGGGCAGATTTGACGTCGGGTAAGTTCTCCTTCAGGGTACCTTGGAGATGTCCAGCGCTTACGAATTGGATCGGCATGTGACGTAACTTGGTGCCTGCGTTGAAGGCAGTGGTACGGTGGTTTGACATCCAACGGGCCTCATCTTTAAGAGAGAATTTAGATGCGATTGCTGGTGGCACAAACGTATCCTCGTCGTGGAGGGCCCATGATTGCGAAGAGCGTTTGGCGGGCGCACGGTGCGAAGTGCTCTTCGATGAACCGCCCTTGGCCTTGGTCTTGCCCTTCTTCTTTCCACGGGACATTGCTGCAGAAGCACACAGGGTTTGCAGGGGGAGCGATGTGGAAGGGAGTGGTGGCGACACAGCGGCGACGGCGAGGTTGAGCTTTGGATTAAAGATGATGCGCACTTCCTAGTTCACTTGGCGGGGGGGACGGCGTGGGGCTAGTCGGAGCTTATGACGATGCGCCGATTATGCAAGCTCGCAGTGCAGGCCCCAAGCTGAACAGGACAGTTGTATATAGAGTGCGTTCGTGGGCTGCTCTCTGGACAGCTTGACACATGTTTGGATAGACAGCGAGCGACGTGCACATGCAGCAACACGTGACTGGTTGCAAGCTGTCACCCTGTAAGACGTAGGCAAGTACAGTCTAGAAGCGTGTCGGAGCTCGGGATAGCCCAGGTGATAGCCAGGTGATAGCCACCCCTCCCCCGCCACAACCTATGACCTGGAGCTCGCCGCAGCTCCCTCTCCACATTCTGCGTTCCATACCGCGCAGGGGCTCCTTCTTTGTTGCAAGACCGCCGTTACTGCTCAGATATCCAGTGCGAATACCCACGGCATAATATCGACACACATGTAGCCAGCTCTAGGCAACCTCATCTCGGACCTCCGCATCACCTCCGCACCCAACGGCCGCCTAGGCCCCTACCACCACCACCCACGATACTACCCATCATGCACGACTTTGAGCGCGTCAGCCGCAATATCGTCCGCACCTTCTACGACCCTCCACCTACAAACGACTCCAGCGAACCCATATGGCTGCTGGGCCAGCGTTACGATCCCCGCCCGCCACCAGCTAGGCCTCCGCCTAGTGATGCCGCGGCCGCCGACGAACCCACTCCACCGTCCGAACGCAACGAGGACGAAAGCTGGATACGCACAAGCATCGACGTCTCTGAACGCAAGGAAGCTCCAAATGGCGAGGATCCCGCGCAATACGGCAACTGGCCGTCGGCATTTCTTGATGACTTCGAGTCGCGCATCTGGATGACCTATCGCTCAGGCTTCACAGCGATACAGAAGAGCCAGGACCCAAAGGCAACAAGCGCGATGAGTTTCCGTGTTCGCATGCAAAATCTGGCATCCCCAGGCTTTACCTCTGACACGGGTTTCGGCTGCATGATCAGAAGCGGGCAGAGTATCCTGGCCAACGCATTGCAGATATTACGTTTGGGCCGCGACTGGAGATACCAGGACAAGCCCACCGCCAAAGAACACTGCGAGATACTTTCCTTATTTGCCGACGACCCGAGAGCGCCTTTTTCCATTCACCGCTTCGTTGAGCACGGTGCCGCCGTCTGCGGAAAGTACCCTGGCGAGTGGTTCGGCCCTTCCGCAGCGGCGCGGTGTATCCAGGATCTAGCCAACAAGCACCGCGAGGCTGGCTTGCGAGTTTACGTGTCTGGCGACGGCGCAGACGTATACGAGGACAAGCTGAAGGAGGTTGCCGTAGACGACGACGGCGAGTGGCAGCCTACACTAATCTTGGTCGGCACTAGGCTAGGCATCGATAAGATCACGCCTGTTTACTGGGAAGCGCTAAAGGCGAGTCTGCAAATGAAGCAGAGCATAGGCATTGCAGGGTAAGGCACAATACAAAGCCGTTTGGCATGCTTTGCTCGTTTGTTATGCTAATCTGACACAGTGGCCGTCCATCCGCTTCGCATTACTTTGTGGCCACGCAGGGAAATAACTTTTTCTATCTCGACCCGCATAGCACTCGTCCCTTGCTGCCATATCGGCCGCCTCCATCGTCTACCGAGAACGAGAACGAGAATCAGAACCAGAACCAGAATCAACTAACAGTCCCATCCAGCTTAGACGCCTCAGCTACCTCGAACTCATCCTCAACAACCATCGTTCCCTCTGCTACGCCCACGGATGGCTCCGACCGGACTACCTACTCAGAAGAAGAGCTGGCCACGTGCCACACACGCCGCATCCGACGACTCCAAATCCGTGAAATGGATCCCTCGATGCTCATTGCCTTCCTTATCACCTCCGCAGATGACTATGAGAACTGGAAAGAAGGTGTCCGTAGCGTACAGGGGAAAAGCGTCGTGCACGTGCAAGACCAGGAACCCATGCCTAGGGGCCAGGAGAGAGAGGGCGCGGTTGACGAAGTGGAGAGCTGGGATGAAGACGGTTTGCAGTAGGAAATCGGGTATGCTGCTTAGACTGGCGTTTGGATGGCTTATGATGACATCATTCGGATGCTTGCATTTTTGGAGTTGGGCCGCGGGATCTGAAATGTGTATATCTGTAGATACTATATTTTATGAGCAATCAACACCGATGCTGTCTGTAGTCGGATTTATCAGGTGAAGGCAGAAAATCCATAAGTATAGTGCCGAATAATGCAACTGCGGTAAAGGCCATTCGGCAATGGTTATTCAAAGTAAGTTCCTAAATAGCAAATAAGTTGAGACAACCAAACTCGAAAATGGAAAATGGGAGAGCAAAAATGCGTGAAGTTGGAAATAATTGATTCGTTCCCGTCTGCTGTGGTATAATGTACAGACCCAGATGGACCTCGTAGTCAAAGATGACTATATGATTCGATGACAGACAAACCGACCCATGATCACATTAGCAAAGGACCCGTGAACACCGCACCCCGTAACCACTTGTCATAGTGGCAAGAAAGACCCAAAGAAAACATCCAGCGAAGAAAAAGCACTCTATTTGGTGGATGAAGAGTACTTGGTGACGGCCTTGGTACCCTCAGATACGGCGTGCTTGGCAAGTTCACCGGGCAGGATCAGGCGGACTCTGCAATTGGTGTTAGTGGATACAATCGACTGCGATTGTGAAAGGCGGTGAAAACGTACGATGTCTGGATCTCGCGCGATGAGATGGTGGACTTCTTGTTGTAGGCAGCGAGCTTGCTGGCCTCGGTGGCAACGCGCTCGAAGATGTCGTTGACGAAGGAGTTCAGGATGCTCATGGCACGGTTGGAGATACCGGTGTCGGGGTGGACCTGCTTGAGGACTGGAAAACGCGTCAGCAAATTTTGAATTGTGAGCGGAAGATGCGGAAGCATTGAGACCACGCGATTCGATTGCATGTCGCGCTTATGACGCGCAAATGGGCCAAACTTACCCTTGTAAATGTAAGAGGAGTAGGTTTCCTTCCTGGTCTTGGTGCGCTTCTTCTTGTCGCCAGAGGGAGCGGCGGTCTTCTTGCCAGCCTCCTTCTTCTCAGCGGGAGCCTTGCCGGCTGGGGCCTTGCCGCCGGTGGTGGGAGTCTTCTGGGCTTTGGGAGGCATTTTTGGAGATTTGGACGGTGAAGATTGGAAAAGGTGGAATCTGGATTGAAAGCAGGAGCTTCGAGTGAGATGGGGCAGGTAAAGTGTCGTGGGTGGGTGTCGAGATGGATGAAGGGAAAGGTCGTCGACGGCGGGGGGACGCGCTACTTATGGGGAGCGCGCTCGCATGTTGTGATCCAGCAGCGCCTGTGAGGCCCGTGCGGAGGGACGCTGGCCGCCTTGCCTGTTCGGGTGCTAGGCGAGGGCGGCGAGTGATCTTGCGTCGACTTGCGGCAGGCGCTAGCCGGCGTTGCTGCCCTTTGGCGCGCTAGCGTGCGCAGGTTGATCTCGCGCACTCGCAACACGCCAGCGCCGTCCTTATAAGACGGCCCCGCCCCCCAACACCAGCAAGCAATCCATCGTCTTGATACTCCACGCCCACAACCCGCTCACTCACGCCGCTCCGTCCACACTCCCGTCTTTTTCGACTCCCACTTCCAAAAACAACCCCCACCAAAAAACTCATTCAAAATGACTGGCGGAAAGTCCGGAGGCAAGGCCAGCGGCTCCAAGTCCAGCGCCCAATCGTAAGTAGCCACTGATTGCATGCTTTGCAGCTTTTTGCCTTTACCTGGGCTGCGCGCCTCGTGCACTCTGGTGTTGCAACTTGTTTGCTTTTGACGCGTCTTTTGTCTCAATTGACGCGTCTTTTTTCGCATCTCTTCAATATTACATCATTTGCTAACAGCAATTCCAGTCGTTCATCCAAGGCCGGTCTCGCTTTCCCCGTCGGTCGTGTCCACCGTCTCCTCCGCAAGGGCAACTACGCCCAGCGTGTCGGTGCTGGTGCTCCCGTCTACCTCGCTGCCGTCCTTGAGTACCTCGCTGCTGAGATTCTCGAGTTGGCCGGTAATGCTGCCCGCGACAACAAGAAGACCCGTATCATCCCCCGCCATCTCCAGCTCGCCATCAGGAACGATGAGGAGTTGAACAAGCTTCTCGGACACGTTACCATCGCACAGGGTGGTGTCCTCCCCAACATTCACCAAAGTATGTTCATCGCATTCAATCTCATCTCAACAATCACTAACGCATTCTCCAGACCTTCTGCCCAAGAAGACTGCCAAGCCTGGCAAGGGTCCTTCGCAGGAGCTCTAAGCGCATTTTGCTTTCGAGTTTCTTCTTCACGGCGTGGTTACTTCATGGGTCTTTTTCGTCTGCAATGATAATGGGAGTCGGTCTGGGTTTTGGGTTCTCGGCTTTTCACGGGATTTATACCAGAGCTGTATATTAGCTGGTCGCTTTGATGACCACAGGCTCATGAGCTGAATCGAGCATATCACTTCACTGCACCATCTTTTGTCCGTGTTCTCATTTTCTTGCTCATTGTCACAGGTCGAATTGAAACTCGGTTTTGTTCGCATCTGCTTCGCGCAACGTGGCTGGGTCATTGCCGCAGCCTGTCCGCTTTGGTGGTCGACTCCTGAGTGTGGGGTTGCTGTTTTTGGCGAGAACAGGTAGTGGCGGCGCCATGGTAACTGTGCAGGAGGATTTGCAGCGCCCTGCGTTATTGGCGGTCTTTGTCGTTGAATCACGCAGCTCTCACCGCCACATGAAACGCAACCTCCGCATTTCATGGTCTACGGCGCAATTGCAGAAAGAACTTACTTTTATTGAGATGGATTATAATTTGCGTCATTGGGTTTACCTTAGGAATTTAGGTCCATAGTGACGTATTTGAGCGTACTCGCAATATTCTTGAATTTGAACATAGGCGCATTTATAAGGCCGAATTGAATTCATGAAATAACAATCCAAATTCATCTCCTTAATTACCCATGTACACAGGCCGCAAAGTACATGCAATTATAGATATGTTTTACAAATAGTATTGATCTTGCGTTGATAGTTGTGCGCGCTGTGGTTCGCTGGTAATGTTCTTGGAGTGCACTAGCCTGTGACTACACATGGCCCCTGCGGGGAAACTCTGCTCGATCTGAGTGTGCCGTGATCAATGGCAATTTCCTATTCTAGTATATACCATGATTGGAAACTGAGAATTGGGCCACTAGGGAATGCTCACTGTCGTATGTCTCTTGGTTTCTTTCTGCACATCTGAGCTACCACGTCAATGCATATTGTGTAGTCGTTGTAGTACTACTTTAAATCATGTCCCCATGAATGTATGTGATGTGACATGATTTTTTCCCTTTAGGTGGAGTTTGATAATTCGATCTGTTATGGGTTGGCTTTGGTTGTGTGCAGAGATGTTGTGTAGGCATTCGACACTACTACAGTGTAACCACGTACGAAATATCACTACACAACATGTGCATATATTTTTTAGCTTAGATAAGGCAAAGGCAACAAAATCTCTTCGCATCAGTACGTCTTTTACAGTTTTTTGGATAATAATTGTATTTTATTCGTTGTTGACTCTGTAATACTGAGCACTTTCTCGAATGTATTTTTCGCAAATTATTGTCGAACATTAAATCATCCAAAAAATTACCACACCACGGCAACAACCTAAATTGGGCTGAAAATCGAGATATATGATACCAATGGCCCAAGGATTGTATTCGCATAATTTTCAAGACAAAATGTATGAGTTATCGTTGTCACGTTTTGTTGGAAGCTGAGGCACGTGAAGGGCAGTCGAAGGGACTGCCCGAGCTCCGTTGGCCCAAGCTGAGCCTAACCGGAAACCGGCCCCCATAACAGGCACGACTGCCAAGCCCGCGACATCAACCCGCCCTCAGCACCTCACACACACCCGCGACGCAATAGCGAGAGCCATTGCGGCCACGAACCACGTCTTGCATCGTCGCCATGAGCACCAAAACACATGTCCTGTAAGCGCTTCCGTAGCACCCGCCCGCACCGCCTGTTATGCACGCGCAGAAACTAACCAAGCCGCAGACGCCTCTACAGGCGGTCCCTCAAGCTCGCCCTTGACTGGAGCGTCCATCGATACCTCTGGCGCGGACAGGCTCTGTACATCCGCGAGCTTTTCGAGGCTAAGAGAAACGTTACAGAGCCCCGTCAAATGAGAGTACGTCCCGCGATTCCCTCTGCAAGCCATACACACAATCACCTATACAATTACCCAGTCACCACCCATCCTCAGACTCATATATGCCACAGCTCCGCCAATGATCATGCTAACAATATGTACAGGATTTGATTAAGGAGACAGAGGAACTTCTTGAGAAGTGGAAGCACCCAGACCCTTACCGCCCACCCACGGCACCCGGAGGTTCGTTCCTCTCTACCAACCTGGATATTTTTTGTGTCGGCGCCACAGACGTGGGGATACTGACTGCTTGTAGGTTCAAAGTACGAGCGCAACTTGCCTTGCCCAATCACCGAACGTGAGTATCTCCACCCCCATTGTTCCAAACACAACCAGAATTAACATTGATTAGCTCCACCAAAGATGATTTTGTAGTGTTTGCCATGAGAACTGTGTCCAGGTCAAATTGTACATATTACAACGACAGTGCTACATAGCAGTAGCACGCAATACCACAGTAAAAGAAGGACGATGCCCGTTTCGTTCATACTGCGCCCCTATCTCCAGGCGCCGCACATTTCTTCTTTTCTCGTGTCATGATCATTGTGTCTAGATGACACCAGTTGACGCTTTTATTAGGTCTGATACTTTCTCACTCTCCTCACAGTGTTCAGATATCCCATATTGTCTATCACGTGCTCCCTTTCTACCCAGAGCGGTACATCTCCATGTGCCTCCTTTTGTGCCCTTTGCTGCACCCATGCGTCCTCCATATATGCCCACTCTGGCATTTCACAGCAGCCTCCAATCAGGACTGTCCTTTCGGGTGATATACTATACAGTAGCGACTCATGCGTCTTCGGTACCAGGACCTGCACAACCTTCTTCTCTGGATCAAAGCCGCGAATCAATGCAGTGCAAACCAACCTCGTTGTTCGAGGATCCAACGGCTGTACCATACCGAGCGATTCGGATTCCGGGAAGAAGGGGATCCGAAGCCTCTTTGTTCGTGGAAGAAATGTGTAAGGGGTTGGCACGATCGATGACGTCGACTGGACGATTTGGACAATAGAGCCATTCAGCGCATGGACCAACGAAGCAGGCTCAACGGGCTCTGAGTACATTGCGAAACCGACCAAATCTTGTGTCCTCTCATCAGTCTCTTCATAACAAAACTCCCATGGTACGAGATGGGAGAGCGGTTCAGAACTCCATCTCAGCCCTTGTGACTGGCCAGGGTGTGTACTGCTAGACTTGAGGTGGAAGTAGGATTGCATCTGCATAGTGCACAATTCCGCTTCCTTCCTCATCAGCGGCAATGGTGGTTTTTGTGTAGCAATTTCATGCACTGTGCCATGGTACTGCGACGTGATAGTCTGTAGCACATGCAGTCTTGCCGCCGTCTCTGTGTCGATGGCTTGCGTGTCACCAAGATGGACTGTGTTGTGTGGTTTTAGCCTTGCTAGGAGCTTATCGAGAAGGCCAGAGTGAGGCAAGCATAGGAAGCTAGGCGTGTCGACAATGACTGGCAGAGACGAGTCTCGGGCGTGAAGGTTGCGGTATGCCACGAGAAGATCCTCTACACACGCCTCATAATAGTCGGAATAATTGGCCAAGTTTGCAGGGATTGGGTGCGCGCGTACTATTTCATCTGTAACCATATCTTCGGATTCGGGCACGATTGATGGATGGGCGAAGCTTGGTCCCAGGTTCAGTTGTCTGACGATGACGAGAGATATTTGACCTCCAGGCGTATACTCTTGCTTTCTAGGGTCAAGATCCATGTAGCACACAGCTGGTACCGATGGAGCAGTCTTCCCTAAGCCTGTAAGGTAACGGTTGATGAGTCGCCTCGCAAATGTTGATTTTCCTGAACCCAATGAACCAGTCACTACGGTCATGGATGGGCTACCAGCGCAATCCTCGATAGCGCGAAGCCAATCTTCGGGTGCCATTTCCGGGCACAACGGCCTAGAAAGAGTGTCGGCACCTGATTCAGTCACCT